TGGTTACTGAAGATGAAGGAATGATTAAAGTTAGGAAATTAGTGAAACTTACCTTAACATGCTTTTTTCAAATTAGATGGAGATGACTCTTTTTTTTTTTACGAGTATACGAGTTTATTCCAGTTTATAAATACACAAATATAAAAAAGTATAGAAACCTACTCAAGTATTTTCCAACCCTGGGCCTGATTCACTGCTGGATTAGAATAAAAGATTCTAATTTTACTGCTGATGTGGTTATACTGGTCTCTATATAATTAGGTATCAAACGATCCAATATTAAATTTATATTTATTTTATGAGTTTCTGTCTAATTTTGTCATGGAAAAAAACAAGGAGTCGTCACTACTGCATATTTTTTGACATCTATGCTTCTTGGTCTTATTCCTAGGTAACTTTGATACTGTACTAAACAAACGTTTACTGTTATTTTTGTTATCTTCCATCCAGGTGGAGAAATATGCTGACTTAGTGCAGTGAGAGCCTTTCTATAATTAAGAAGGCTCTCCTCCCACACTGTTTTGGAAAGCTACCAGCTAACTTTGATGAGATTTACATTTTAACTTTTTTTCGTGTTTGTGTAAAGTACAAGGGACATCATTATACCAGGGTGCTAGATTTTTTCCCCGTAGGAAATATGATCTACTACTATAGAGTGAAACACTGACATTCAGCAACTTCATCAAATTCTATAGGACCAAACGACCAGCAAATCAAATTAGATTTGATTTTTTAAAATTAGTTTTGAATTACATTTTCAATAAACCAGATCCAGTAGCTGAAATCACGTTACACATCATGCTGTAGCAAGCTGAAGTGCAAATATTATGACGGAGACACAATTAAAATGGAATGAGGTAGTGATCAAACTGGAGTAGAACAACGGTGCTATCTGCATTTATGCCAAATCTCATTATTAATCCGAGGATGTTTGTTATATAGTGAGCAGGTCCAGTATGATATAGAAATACAGTCAGGTCCATAAGTAATTGGACAGTGACACAATATTCATAATTTCTGCCTCTGTACACCACCACAATGGATTTGAAATGAAGCAATCGAGATGTGATTGAAGTGTAGACTTTCAGCTTTAATTCAAGGGGTTTAACAAAAAAGGTTTTTATACATTGTCCCTCCATTTTCACAGACTCAAAAGTAATACGCAGTTTCATGGCCAGGTGTGGCCTGTTTTCTCATTATTTCATGACAAATTAAGGAGATAAAAGGTCAGAAGTTGATTCCAAGCATTGAATTTGCATTTGGTAGCTGTTCATGAGAACTCTCAATATGTGGTCCAAAGAGGTGTCGATGCAAGTGAAGGAGGCCATCAAAACAAAACAGACCTATCAGAGAGACAGCAGAAAATTTGGAAGTGACCAAATCAACAGTTGGGTACATTCGTAAAAAGAAGGAATGCACTGGCGAGCTCAGCAACACCGAAAGGCCTGGAAGACTGCGGAAAACAACTAGAGTGGATGATCGCAGAATTCTTTCTTGTTCAAGAAAAACCGCTTCACAACACCTAGCAAAGTCAAGAACACTCTGGAGGAGGTAGGCGTATCATTATCAAAATCTACACTCAAGAGACACCTAGGGTTAGGTCAATTGATTGGCTTCAAATCATATAATTTGCAAAGGAGTTATTGAATTTTAATGTAAGGATGACGCATTCAAGTTTACATTGCTTATCTATTTCAATTACACACACGAATGTAATATTTTTTTGTATATGTTTGTATTTTCTCTTTTTTTTTGTAGTGATTGGCATATTTGCCAGTCATGTCTCTTAAATTTGCTGCATTGTCGTTCACAGCTCTGATCATAGCGTCCTGCTTTTCCAAGGCAGCATCGGTGATGAGTCTTTTCGGTTGCTGAGACTTGTTTAGTAGCTAGTTACGCTGCTAGCTGATGCCATTTATCAACATACACACATGAAACTCAGCGTTTCCGAAACTTTTAAGTCAAGTGGAATTTTTTTTTCTCCAGTTTGGCTTACACTAACATAACATTTACACACAACTTTACTAAAAGCTTGATAAATGTGTTAGCTTTTTCATGCCACTGGTGCCTCTGAGTTGCTCATTACAGATTGAATCTGGAATTGCATCTGGATTTCTGTAAAGACACTGATAGCATTAATACCTTTGTGTGTGTGTGTGTGTGTGTGTGTGTGTGTGTGTGTGTGTGTGTGTGTGTGTGTGTGTTTGTGTGTGTGAGACTAATACAATGGACAGGGTAGAGTGATGAAGACACTTTTCTGCAAAAACACATGAAGTAGTTTGTGATGTTCAAAAAGTAGTACTAAGTAGTAACTGCACACACACACACACACACACACACACGCACACGCACACACACTCAACCCTAGTGCTTTCAGTGTGTTGGGGAGTGGTGCTCTTTGAAGCCCTGTGTGTGATTTAGCCTTTCCCTCTGCCCTTTATCAGAGGAAAGATCGATCACAATGGCATGGTTTGTGCTTTCTTTCTGTTCCTCCCTTCATCTATGCAGAAGCAGCAAAGTTTCCTGTGTTGAATAATGAACACTGCGGAGAAAAGCAGGACGAATACAGATGGAAGAAAGCTTCCGAATCGGCAAAGCACAGCATACAGAGTGAAAAATACGGAGTGAAAATCGAATTACAGGTCTTGCTATGACCTACAGATGTCCACTATCAAGACATGTTATTAGCTCATAAATATTTAGCAGAAAGTAATACTGTTTTGGAATTTCATACTAATATGAATTTTTTAAACAGACGTACTAATATAATGTTATGCTATTTTGGTAATTTCACCATTAGCCTGTAAGTAATGTTGTTAATTGTTATGGTATGTGTGCTGCTTAAATTACAAGAAGGTTATGTTATTAGCTTGGGGTTAACATGGCACTGAAATCCCATAGCCATAGGTGCAAATCATGACAGAGAAAAGCTTTCTTTTGTAATTGCAAGTACTAAGAAACTCTGGAGGACTAGTGGTTAGGCCTCGCCGCTGCGGCCCGGGTTCGATCCCTGGCTAGGGAACTAACCCCAGCCACTGGGGTTGCGTGCAACAGTGTGCTCTCAGTGCCAGTCCCAAGCCTGGATAAAACTGGTGAGGGTCCTTTAAGGAAGGGCATCCAGTGTAAAACCTGTGACAAATCAAATGTGCAGACCAATGATCCGCTGTGGCGACTCCTAACGCGGCAGCTGAAAGAGGAACAACATCAAGAAAATCTGCATTGATTCCCTCAACCATAACAGTCAATAAGAGAGAGTCTTCTCTGCAAATGTAGCATCCCATTATTCTGTTCCGAACAAATGGACTACAAGGTATTTATATGAGTTATATATAAGAGGTAGTTTCTTACCTTTGTAGTGGTGTGTGTGTGTGTGTGTAGGACGAAGTGTACAGTTTGAAGCCTTTCTCCAGCTTGCCAGAAGGGGCTTTGCAAGTATTCTTACATGCTGCCTTGCAAAAGTATTCAACCCCCTTCCAGCCTGCTCCAAATTCAAAATTCATTATTTGTCAGCTGATCTTTAAAAACAATTAAAAACTGAAAAACGCTGCTTGCAAAAAAAACCCCTTCAGACTAGTATTGATTGAATCACCTTTTGCTGCAATAACCGCTTTAAGTCTGTTGGATTAAGTTCCTAGCAGCTCTTCCTACAATTTTGACAAGATGCCCAGGTTCCTAGGATGAAAAGTGTCCGCAGGTCATGATGTTTCCACCACCATTTTTCACTGTAGGGATGGTGTTAATAGAGGTATGGGCTGCGTTATATTTGCGTCACTCATAGCGCTTTGAAACTTTGAACAAATGTCTTGATCTTGGTCTCACCGCACCAAAAAACACATCTTCACTGGGTCACTATCGAGGTTTCATATAGGTCTTCTTGAGCAATGGTTCCTTTCTAACCATCTTCCCATACAGTCCTCAAATAAGCAGAGCTCTAGAAATGGTTGTCTAGTGCACCCTCACTCCACTCTCAGCCACTGCACTCCGTAACTCCTTCAGAGTGACTGTTGGCCTCACGGTGGATTCCCTCACCAGTTTCTGTCTTGTTATTGTGCAGAGTTTTGAGGGAGGGTCTTGTCTAGGTAGTGCTTGGGTGGTGTGATGCAGCTTACTGGGATGTCCAACTTCTTAGATATAATTTTACACCCTATTCCGAAGTTATGATATTCTATTGCCTTATCTTTAGCTTCCTTAGAATACTCCTTAGTCTTCATTTTCACTCCTTTGCTTTAGACTGACAGTCTCTTCAATGACAATTCAACAGAAGGTTGCTCAGAAAATGGGAGTTGTGGCATGGGCCCTTTAATTATTTCACAGATGAAGCCCAATTAAAAGTCAGTTGTGTCCTTGTTAAGACAATATGTTTCATCTGGAGCTTCTGGAAGCTGGGGGGTTGAATACTTATCCAAGCTGCATTTTTCTGTTTTTGATTTTCAAATCTGATCAATTCCAGGGGGACTGAATACTTTTGCAAGCCATTGCATCTGATAAATTTCATTGACATTCATCTTTGGGAGGTCTTGCAGACACTGACTGTAGAATACTGCTATTGCTAGTGTAGTGAAAGAACTGGAAATACAGGAGCAGTACTCTGAAGAAGCTGGAAGTGTTTGTGCACTGAACCCATAGCCAAGGTTTTTTCTCTTTTCACTCTCTCCACTGTTTCCACTCCCCACTTTAGTTTTCTATTTATGCAGGAGATTAGTTGCTGATGCAACCACTGCCATATCACACACCCAGGATTGAGGGTACAGACAAACCCCCAAAGACAAACTGATCAGCTGAATTTGTCAGTTGGAAAATTTTTTTAAAATATCATTAGAAGAGTAGCTTCAAAACTAGTTGTACAGCAGCAAGCAGATTCAAGCAGAACACCCTCGGTTCTATGAGGCTAAACATGGCCAACTAGTGGGTGTTCTGCTTGAATCTGCTTGCTGCTGTATATTCATAAATTCTTAAATTGGACTCTTTCTGAATTTCTATTGTGATGTGTTTACCTAGGGGGCACGGTGGCTTAGTGGCGAGCGTGGTTGCCTCACACCTCCAGGGCTGGGGGTTCAATTCCCACCTCTGCCCTGTGTGTGCGGAGTTTGCATGTTTGCCCTGTGCTTTGGGGGTTTCCTCCTCCAGTCCAAGGACATGATTTGTAGGCTGATTGGCATCTCTAAATTGTCCCTAGTGTGCATGTGTGTGTGTGTGTGTGTGTGTGTGTGTGTGTGTGTGTGATTGTGCCCTCTGATGCATTGGCACCCCATCCAGGGTGTCCCCTGCCTTGTGCCCCAAGTCCCCTGGGATAGGCTTTGGGCTCCCCCATGACCCTGTGTAGTATAAGCATTACAGAAAATGGATGGGTATGTTTACGTTTTCAGAACTGCTGAACTCATAACCCTGGTCTTTTATTTATTTATTAATATTTTTTGCTTGACGTGTTTATCTTTTTCACCATCAAATGTCCCCAAAAGGTCAAAACTGCCAGATATTTCTATCCTCCACCCACATCTGACACACACACCTCTGAAAACTGGTTTGTTCTCCTTTGTATTCTTGTTTTGTGATAGCTATTATATAACTTTAGGTTTTTCCACTGTGCCAGTGCACCACATGCTGTTTTTGTTCTATTGGCTACAGCTTTGTGTTGTAGAAGTTGTACAGATCAGTCCTATCAGGATAACAATCTTGCAGTGAGTTTTGCTTCTAAGGGGACAAGTGGACCCAGAATGCCACCCACAGCGTAACAGAGACACTACTTTTCCCTTTAATTTGTCATCTTTCTATAAGTATACTGTATGTTGCCATATATATTTGTGCATATGATCCAGGCTAGCACACCGCACATTATATCTGCACAGTGCATGAGGGCAATGTCACTCTCTGACTGACACACAGGGAGAGAGGCACTTGTGTATTACAGATAAAAAGAATATACAGGTAGTAATTTTCTTTTAAGAAATATATATTCAAAATACAGTGAGGAATATGTGATATATATATATATGTGATGAACATGTATTGGTGAAATAATCTGGTAAATACAGTGTATTATGTATGTACAAATGCTGTGATGTGGTACAGGGAAACTTTATTCGAACCCTGGTCTGGCTTCACTAATTGTAAAACTCCAAAGCGTACCTGACTGGTAGGTCTAATTAAATGACCAGTGAGTGTAAATACCGGCTCTCTTCTCCCCTGTTTGTCTCCACTTCATTTCTTAACTGTCTCTAGAAAGTGACCCTGAGTAACCCTGCATGATTAACATACAACATGTTGCAACGTGCAGTACACTTGCTCATTAATTTGTCCCGTTAAGCCGTTTTTTGACTGGCTCATGAATTATTGAGAAAGGTCATGTCCTTTTTAAATACTCTCTTACGACAAAATCTGTTTTATTCAAAGTGCACTTCGCAGCCATTGGTTTTTGTACCCTTCTGCTTCCTCTTGTTCTAATTATAATATCTGGTGATTGAGCATCACTCAACAAAGGAGCAAGAGTTTGAACTGGATCACCTCTACTTAAGGTAGGAGCATCGCCTCTTTGATAATTAGTGCACTTGTTCCTACTTCAGCTGTGAAAAAACATGTCAGGAACAGCGATCAGTGGTCATTGTTCACACTCCTTTAAAAGTGCAATACAAAGCGAGGGAATATAAACCCTGTCCACTCAGCAGCCAGTAATGTTTGAGGAACAAATAAAGGGATTTATATGGCAATTGGCCACTTGTCATATTCGCTTGTCATGTTAAGTCCACTATAAAGCTGTGGATACATCCCAAAAACCCATACTAGTGTACTAATTAGTATGGCACTTCATTTGATGAACTACGCTACTATTTAGAATGATGTACGCAGCTATCATATGTAGCTATGTGAATGTAGCTATACACTGATTGATAACAATGGGCCAATCGCAGTGATGTACAATATATGCACGTTTGAACAGCATCTAAACAAATAGTATGTGGAAATAGTAATTTCTTACTTTTGCTGCACCTCTTTATAGAAAATCGGCAAAAAAGCTTCACAGCGTAGCCCCTTTAACACATTATTAAAAGCAATTCTTACTATTGCACTACTATATCATTATACTGAAGCCAGAGGGAGTCGTGATATACTTCCCAGGTCCCTTCATGTTTGGAAAAGAGAGAGCGAGCGAGAGTGTGTTTCTAAGTCTGTTCTCACAACAGTGAGCCGGAGACCAGAAGACGCTGGAAAAGCAAGTTGTATTTTGCTTCTTTTTCTAAGTCTTTGCCTTAGAGAAAAGTTCACGCAGCTCAAAAGTGTTTTTTGAACCTTTTTTTCCTCCTTATTCGAGAGAAAGAGGAAGCGACGTTTCCTGAGGCGGGAATGTGGGCTTTTAAGTTTGGGTGTGGATGATTAAATTTTAAAGTTTGTTTCACTTCACATAATGTAATATCTGTCTGTCTTTCTGTCTATCCGTTTGTCTTTAAACGAACACTTGCTGTATTAGCTCTTGTTTTCAGTTAATGAATTAGTTACGCTGTGTGTGTTTTCCTCCTCAGTATTGAACTGCCTCCACTACAGTGTACTTCAGTTATATCTATGTATGTTGTGTATCAGCTCCTGGCCTCTGAGCGAGATTTAACTTCCTCAGTGTCTTTGTTTGAAATCTGTTGGGCCATTTCTAATATGCAATTCCTCTAGTACCCATAATTCTTGATTTTAAAACACCAATGCGTGTTTCCCAAAGCTGATGAAAGTTTCAATTTGACGCCATGTTGCTGCAGATTCAGACATTTATTCTAAGGGCATAAAAAGCCCTTTTCTTCACCGGGGAAAGAATTCTTGTCATCCACCACAGTTGTTTTCTGTGGTCTTCAGGGCATTTTGTTGTTCCTGAGTTCACCAGTGCGTTCTTTCTTTTTAAGAATGTACCAATTAGTTGATTTGGCCATAATTAAATAATTAAATTAACATAATTAAAGTTTACGCTGTCTCTCTGATGGGTTTGTTTTGATTTTTCAGGCTAACGACGGCTTGCTTCACTGGCAGTGACATCTCTTTGGACTTCATATTGAGAGTTAACAGCAAGAGATTCCAAATTTGGATTTAGATGTACATATATTCAAATTAAAGCTGAAAGTCTGCACTTATTTAATTTAAACTTCAGTATAATAGGGTAGACGGCTAAAATAACAATCACTTTGCCAATGTCCAAGTCCAATGCCAATGTGACTTAATATTATAATATAATTTACTATTATTGAATTTCTTGTCCGAACACAATAATTGAAAAAGTACACAATATTTTTTTTTTTGTATTTTTGTTTGAGTTTAGTCGAGTAAAAAGCTGAAGTTTTGTGGTTGTTAGGTTGTTTGCTTTGTATCAAAATACACACTGCGTACAGTGTATTGACGATCTAATAACTGGATGTTTGCAGGGTAAAAATGTCTTAAATCTAATATTTTACACTTAATGGACACACATGGTAATGGTATGTTACATATCGTTGTTGAGTCGTTCTTATTTTAAAACTCAGAACGGCCACCCTTGCATCTGCAGTATAACAACATTCTCTGCTGGTGCCACCATTTTGGAAAAAAGTCAAACCACGGAGGTGTCTGATGCTTGCACTGAGAAATCTCGGAGAAACTCAGTACGGTATAAATAAGAATTATTAAAATGACAAAATAAGAAATATTAAAGTGTTCAGCAGTTATACCACATCTATAAGACAATTTCTATATAGAAATATGTTACTATTACAAAACAGACTATTATGCCAGTTAAAACAGTTTTTAGGATAGGTCTATTCCAGGCTAACTTTGAGTGAGTGTGTGTGTGTGTGTGTGTGTCCTGCTGTGGCTCTGCTGATCCTGCAATCACTGATAATGCAGCTAAAGGTCAGAAAATGTCAAACTGAGTGTTGATGCTGCTGCTTTCCTCCAATTCTTATGCTCAATATTCTCTAAAAGCCACTTAACACTTCGGTTTTGTTTGGCTTGAAATGACCTACTTCAAAATTCATCCCAGATGTGGGTCAGTACCTACATGCTTTTTCCAACATAAAACCATAAGCTGAATATGAGCTCAAACTGCAAACGACTTTCAGCTTTAATTTGAGGATATTTTCATCCCAATCAGGTGAGCGGTGTAGGAAATAAAGTCTTTGTAAAACCCTCTGTATTCGCCCTGGTGAAGTCTTCTATTGATTGTTGACTTTGACACGGATACGTCTACCTCCTGGAGGGTGTTCATGATCTGGCCGGCTGTTGTGAAGGGGTTTTTCTTCACCGGGGAAAGAATTCTTCTCATCCACCACAGTTGTTTTCTGTGGTCTTCAGGGCATTTTGTTGTTCCTGAGCTCACCAGTGCGTTCTTTCTTTTTAAGAATGTACCAATTAGTTGATTTGGCCATAATTAAAGTTTACGCTGTCTCTCTGATGGGTTTGTTTTGATTTTTCAGGCTAACGATGGCTTGCTTCACTGGCAGTGACATCTCTTTGGACTTCATATTGAGAGTTAACAGCAACAGATTCCAAATTTGGATTTAGATGTAAATATATTCAAATTAAAGCTGAAAGTCTGCACTTATTTAATTTAAACTTCAGTATAATAGGGTAGACAGCTAAAATAACAATCACTTTGCCAATGTCCAAGTCCAATGCCAATGTGACTTAATATTATAATATAATTTACTATTATTGAATTTCTTAACTAGATTTGTTGTCCATAATTAATAGCTTGTACAACACAGTATTATTCAACAAATATAGATAAGTGGTGTTAGTGGTCAAAATACCAAACCATATTCATGCAAGGTTGTATATTAGTAATTAGAAATTGTTTGACATCATCCGATTATTCAATTATTTAGACATTCTACACAATACATGCACGCAGCTGAGCAGTTGAGGGTTAAGGGCTCTTTTCTCAAGACACAGCTGTAGTCCAGTCATTAGTGTAGAAGATAATTTCTATGTGCAATGCTGAAATTAGATTTGTTGGCTTGAATTCATGCCACAGCAAGCAGCAGTACTAAGATGCAGGGTGATCTTTTAATTTTATTTCATTTTCGAATGCTCAGAAGGCAGATTAAGAAGCTCTATGGTTGGAGAAG